CGAAGAATCTGATACAAATTCTTCCACATTGATTTTTTTGGGGACTAAGCCCCCTTCCCAACATCTACTTTATTGGGTATAGCCCCCACCCATCCCCCCACAATACAGTCTTGATGGAAAATCACGTACCTCATCTTTCTCATCGCCAGATAAATCCCCAGGTGCTCGAACATGGAATGCCAGATCCGTGAACTCGACAATTATACCGGAATGACCGGCTGACAAACCGGTTTCACCAGCAAGCCTCAAGCCTTCATTCCACTGTAGGCCGTACAATTCTCGTCTGACCGGTTCCAAATCCCAGCCCATCTCGTCGACGATTTCCAGAATTGGAAACGTCAGACAGCTCGTGTTGCGTTTGAACTGCCCGCGCTTGCGTGCGTACGCCACCGCGGCGGTTACCATGGGAACACGTTGAGCGACGTAATGTAAATGGGCGGGGCCGCCGTAGAACTTTAGCGTGCACGTAGAACGAACGGATTTTAAAATTTGTACCCAGCGTTTGGCGTGTAATTCGAGGTAACATAGCAGTGTTTCTATAGCTTCTTCTTTCATGTCTAGTTGTTGCACTGCTTTTTCAATCGGTAATGCCACTTCATGACCACCACAGACACGATTAGAACCTACATTACTATCTTCTGTATCATGATGATCCATCACTTCCGACTCATCATTCGTGATGACGTCATCGTCACCGTTATCAGTCATAATGACGTCATCGTCATTCGTGACCGCATCACGATTCGCGACATCGTTACTATCCGTGGCGTGATCACTCTTCGTGACGTCATTGCTCGTGACGTCATCACTTTTCGTGGCGTCATTCATTCTGATGTCATCATCATCTTGGGGAACTTTATCAACAATGCCTTTAACATCACTATGGTTTCCATCGATAGTTTGGTGAACATCGGTTTTGGAGGTAATATCACTCGTATCAGTCTCTACGATATCTGCCTCATTGATTCCCAGTTCTTTACTGCCGTGACTCTCAAACTCGACCATGTGGTCAATAATGTCATCATCACCATCAAACCAGTCCTGGTTCGCACCTTCATTCGAACCATTAGCGCTCGATCCCGCTGTATTAACCAAGGCAAGTTCTCTATCTCGCTTTTCCTTCATGTTGGCATGTAGTGTTTTACAATCACATGTGGGAAAGATCTGATGTACAAGTTTCTTGATTGCATTTCTATCAACTGTACTGGCGTAGGCATGTCGGCGAAGTTCACGAACGTCTTTGCCCTAGAACGTTTAAATACATGCATGACTATTGTACGAATATTACTCTTTTAGCAAGTGTTGTTTCAGTTCATTTTCATTTCCTCAGCGCTGTAGAAACTGAATGTAAGCATACAATTAATTAGCCTCATGGCTAAAAGGATAAAGAGTGATTTTTTTCTCCCTAAATTGAGAGGATGTGAAGAGAAAAGGGTGATAATCAAGACTGAATATAGATAGAGAAAACTACCTATTACATTATGTGATTACATCAAGTATTACGCTGATGTTACTAACTTGGTAAAGACTAGTTATCTTTATAACAATTGAGAAATTACTTTCCTAACTGTGTTTATCCTAACCCACCCTGTCAACTTTCCCTGTGGGAGGAAACTGGAGCACCCGGAGAAAACCCACGACGTTCGGCAGAGCGTTGACTGACTCTTTTCACATGAGTCCGTAGCGAGAATCGAACACACGATCTCAGAGGTGAAAGGAGCTTGCGACTGCGCAACCGAAATCCCAACTGCGTCACCGACGCCCCAATACACTTGCCATACACTCAAACGTGAAGTCCAATATAGGGAACTACCAGGATAAAAATAGAAATATTTCATACCTCAGGATCAATAAAAACATGGCAATGAGAAGGCAAGCCATCTCTTCCAGCCCGTCCGATCTCCTGAACATAACTTTCAAAACTCTTCGGCATGTTATAATGAATGACAGCGCGGACGTCAGCTTTATCTAAACCCATTCCAAACGCAACTGTCGCGACTACGATACGAAGTTCTCCCGCCATGAATTTCTTTTGCACTTTCTTTCGTTGTGCGGCTGAAAGACCCGCATGGTAGCATTCGGCTTGCCAAGACATGGATTTTTTGCCCGATTTTGATTTCTCGGATTTTCTACAATTAGGAAAAACATGAAACTCTGCATAGATGGTAGGGGTTGAAGTGTCTTAGATTTTATGTTTGTCAGACTTTTGGGTGGTGGGTCAGAGAGGCCAGCCCCTGTAGATCCACCCCTGACATCCCTCCCCCTTCCTACCTTTTCCTTCCACGTTTCTTCTCCTTGTTTTCTTTCTCCATTTCATCAGCTCCGTTTTGATCCGTGATAGAACTGCTTGTATTCATTGGATTCTTCTGCAGACACGTCCTCAGGTAGGTCGACAGTTGTTCTGTTTGGTCTCGACGTGTGCAGTAAATGATGATGGAGTCACAGTCGCTGAACCGTGAGCCTTGTAGAAGTTCGAGAATTGCCTGGTTAACAGAAACAACAAACAAGTTTCACATGACAGATATGGAGTTATGTTTTAATGTTTATGTCCAGGGCTCGATAGAGAAACAATATGGCCGACAAACTATTTTTTTTTTGCAGGTCAAATGAATTATAGCTTGCGATTTCTGTTTTTTGAACTGCTAATATGGTCCGGCTCAACTATGGAAGAAACAATGTGTCACTAGCGCTCTACTGAAGTACTGGTTAAAGTTTTCACTTACCCTATCTCGGTTCAAGTCACATGAAACAGAGAGATTAAGATTGTCCGGGATTGTAGCCCCTCTGACGATTGCCTCCGGTCGGTGAATAATCCCTAGGTGCTCACATACCGATAAGGCAGTAGATCTGGTAGCAGTCGCGGTCAGACCCAGGAAACATCGTACACCAAAACGTTCACGTAAAACCTGATAGCAAAAAAATATTAAATCACATTGCTATGTCGTACTACATTTAGATGAACTGGCAAACGTGATGTCAAACCTTATCAAACTATTTCTACTATTCTTTTAACAGTGGGCTATTCATAGAGGTTCAGATTTGACTACCACTACCTCTCACTGGCTTACTACGCATCTTATTGGTTAATCGGATATATTAAGCGCATATGATTGGTTAATGGTCGCTTAATGGTAGCGGTAGTGGAAGTGAAACCTGAACCTCTACTGTATTGCTCGTTTGCAATCGATGCCATCTTGGTTGATTTTCGTGGCAACTAAAAATCTCTATTCTTCATTCTTTGTCGTATTGTGCCAGAAATCGTAAACTATCCATAATACAGTAAGATGTTTTCCAAAAACAAACCAAAAATATTAAAGTAACTCAACTATTTCGATGTAAACGGCTGGACAAAACTTTAAAATCAACCAAGATGGCGCCTAATGACATGTAGTGACGTCATGTGCAAGCGAAGAATAATATGAGCCAAGATTCCGCGATGCATAAAATGAAATTCAAAATAACAAACAAACCTTGCAAACACGAAGATACGACGGCCTGAAGTTATGTGACCATTCTGATACGCAATGAGCTTCATCGATGCAGGCAAACGCAATCGGTGGTAGTTTGGAGGGGTGGGGTAGACACCCCACGCCAGAATTCCCTCCTACCAAAGCCTCAGGGGAAACCAACACTACAGCTGCTTTACCGGAACAGATTTGATCGACGGCTTTTTGACGTTGTTGTTTTGTCATGTTCGTGTTTAGACTTACTCCGTGAAGACCAAAAGGTAATCCGACTACCTAGGGAAAATAAAGAGCAAAAAACAAATCACCCACTGTTCAAGATTCGAAGTTTGTAAAAAAATCCCAAAGCCGGTTGACCATCATCTGCTGCGCAATGGCGCAATACTAATTTGACGATCTTGGTATACCTGATCCTCCATGAGAGAGACGAGTGGTGATATGACCAATGTAATACAAGGTGAACGTCTACTGTACATATAAGCTGGTAGTTGATAACATAATGACTTTCCAGCACCAGTTGACAGTACGACCAAAGTTGATAAACCTACACATAACATAAATAAAGTAACAAAATATACAACAATGTTTAAACTCCGTACAAAAACAATCTTTTATTTCAATGTTTCGACTTTGTTTAAGTCATCAGCATTTCCCATATTATGACAAAACATTGTCAAAAAGTTGAAATGAAATGTCTCCTTTATTCAGTTACCATTGTGTGTTGCATGAAAATATGATTTCCGAGAATGCTCTAAGTTTGGCTCTGCCAAACGTCTACGAACTATGGTTTTGTCCTGTGGCAACACAGGACCAACTCCTGTTGCAATACAGGACCAACAAGCGACCACTCCTACAGGAAAATCTGACTTGTATGTCTTACCGCATAAAATCTGCATGATCACTTCCTCTTGTCCACAGCGGAACGAATCAAATCCCAACTTATTTAATGCATCATACACTTCTTGCGGTGTGCCTGCAAGAGAACAAAACATCACTAGTGAACACTAAGGGAGGGGGCATACGACTGCAACTGCAGAACCGCCCACCTCCCAATACTTTCCTAAAGTTTCTGAAATATTACGTAACTAAGTTACAATTGCCACAATATACTTTCAAGTTTCAACCATAAAAGTCTGATATCCAGCCAGCCCTTCCGCACCTCTAATATTTTGCAAAGTCTGTCCCGATATTCCAAACCTATTAGCCATAATTACTAACAATTACTAATCACTAATTACTTGATAATTGAACACTTACTAATTAAATACTAATTACTTACTAATTGGCTGGTCATTGACAGGCTGATAAAGAGGTTCAATAGCTGGAGGAGCTTGACTAGGTAGATGCTGAGATCGAGGTAAGCGATCTGAAACCAAATATTGCAATTTCTCTTCTGTTGCTTGCCACTGTTCATCATTGATCTCTAAATCTTCTGGGGCATTAACTGGTTCGGACCAACTAAATATAACATCAGAACGATTGTTACAACTACCAAAACTGCATGCGTTTCAAGGGTGTTACGGGATACTGGTGACATACCATTGTACCTGTCACTTCTATGATTGAGTTCCTGCAAGTGCAATGTGCAGTAGTCTGATTTTAATTTCGCCCCACCTGCTTCTAACTGAAAACTCCGGCTACACCCCGAGTAATTCCTGCAGAAGACCATAAGGGAATGGACTTTACTGAACTTAAGGGTGTACAGCTGATGGATCTGTCTTTGGTTTGTGTCTGAAATGTACCTGTAAGACTAAAACGCTTCTAACGAAGGCTCTTCTCAAGATTATTATAATGGCTTCGTTAGGAGTGCTGAACTACCTGATTGATAGTTCAAACACAACTACGGCAGCTTACAAACAGTAGTTAATTAAACAAGCTTTCGTTGGTAGGCATGCAACTACCTGAAAATATATAAGAATTTCGACGTTTCGAGCGAAGGCCCTTCGTCTGGAGTTACAAGAAGGGCCTTCGCTCGAAACGTCGAAATTCTCCTTATATTTTCAGGTAGTTGCATGCCTACCAACGAAAGCTTGTTCATTTTATTGGCACTACCTACACTGGCAAAGACAATTCAAGTTAATTAGACACCCTTGGCATTAGGGTGTCTCTTTTCATACTATTTCCTTACTTTTCAGCAGGGACCTGAGATCGCACTGGTTTGTTCCTAGGACAATCCTTGACCCAATGACCATCCTCCCCACACTTGAAACACGTGGTAGTCGTTGTACTACTTATACGCCTTGTACTTCCACTGCTATTGCTCTTCTTTTTCTTCCACTGATTTTTCTTACTATCCGCTTGTTCATTCGCTTGTTGCTTTTTTTTCCACATTTTCCGTTTATACGCGGCGTAATTTGTGCCATTTCCACGTCGACAGTAGCGACGAACTTTCATATTCAACGCACGGAAGTTTTCACTTACCAACCCTGATGATCTAGAGATGAATTATATGAATGAAGATTTGATCATTTGCAATGTCTGATAACTCGTTTCTATACAACACTTTGGAGTGCATGTCCTATCTGTAAGCGTTTTTGAAGATGTTATTGCACTTCACTTGGTTGAACTTGAATGCTGGGTTTGGTGAATAATCCAAGTGAAGTTCAATAACACCGGAGGATAACCCCGAGAAATGTGTATACAATCATTGTGGTTGCTCCTCCCTCCCCCCCCCCCCCCCCCCCTAGTGTCCGCCACAAAAACAAAAAGCTCTTACTTCTTCTTGACACCGTTTCTCTGGCCGCTTTTCTCCGATTGTGTCCGTTCATCTTCACTCTCTTTCCCTGTTTCACCTCCTTCCTCCATCTCTCCATTTTCAACCTGTTCTATGTTCATTTCCCTGTATGTGTCATCAGAAGTTTTTCTTTTCTTTCTCGGTTTTCGTTCTACGTCATCTCCAAACGATGGTTCTAAATGATCAGATGTGGAAGAGGCCTCCACCGCTTTGCTTCTTTTGCGTTTTGTGGTAGAGTTATTATCTACATTTTGAGATCCAATACTTCCATGCATCACTACCAAATCAGATGAAGATTTAGTAACACAGCTATTTTCCATGCTTTGAGATTTAATGGTGTTTCTAGTCGTCGAAAGCAAATTAGCGTTATTGACATCAATATTATCGGTAACCACTAAATTGCTGGACTTATATTTGTTCCTCTCGGATGCTTGCTTCGTAGAGACATTCCCAGTCGTTTGGCTTTCCTCAAGACTACAATTTTTCACTGACTTGTGATCCACTGTTGATTCACCCTGGAATCCAGTCTCATTATCTGTCTCTATTAAATTCTTAGTGGACATTTTTTCAGCATTTAACCAATTCGACTTTGGTAATTCTTCATTTACAGAACCATCGCCATTACCGTTATCAAATTCATCGTTAAATCCCTGTGTTGAATCGTTACCATCTTCCTGATTGCTCCTGTTTAGGGCAGGATCGATTCCATTTAAACTGCTTTCAGCTAGTTCTGATTGGTTCTTTTCCAACCAATCACTAGCTAAGGCTGATCGACGTTTCATTCGCTTTGTGAGGGTAGATTTTCCTAACATCATTCCAGGTTTGTTTAAAACATCTTTCCTGAATAAACCAGAAATAAAGGTTTCTATAGTTTGTTCCACAGCCACTGTGGATAACTTAAGATAACATTAGTATTTGGATTACTTTGAATACTTCCATTAATACATTATCAAACTGAAATGAATGGAAAATGCGCTTACTTTGCAGATGAAATGGAAAACCCAAGATCATCAGAAATGGTACTGTTGTTTACAGTTGCCTCACTTTTATTCTGTAAGCAGTAAAACATGATATTTAAATATTGAGTAAAACAGTACTTTGCAGATCAATAATAAAGTTGAGAAAACATTGTGTGTTGTTTCAACAGGGATTTTAGCAGGGGCAGATATGCTTGTGGAGCATAGGGGAGGCACAGATTTTTCATCAAAGTGCACTCTGCTATCAAAAGTGGCATAAATCATGGACAATTTGGTATGCATTCTAGTTAATGGTGGATTGTCTGACACTGACCAATGATGGTATAGCCACCAATGATGGTATAGCCACCAATGATGGTATAGCCACCAATGACCACTCTCACAAAATTCCATACTTGGAGTATTTTATGATTTATGGCATTTGATGGTGGTATTAGACAATCATGAACCTGGACCAGCCCTGCATGAATATAATGTAATGACTACCTCGACCATCTTGACATCTTGACCACTGTTTTCCATGAAATTTGTTTTAAGTTTGTTGGCTAATGGTTTCTGCCTTTGACCATGACATAATTTTATAGGTTTATATTCTGTGGGAGATATTTGAATCCTGACAGATTTATTCGCTGAAACAGGGGTCCTGCTTTTGTTCAAACCCTTTCCAAATACCTCATCCTCAATTTCCTCCTAAAAAGACAACGCTGTCAGTTTCAGCCCGGAAAATATTACCTATGCTCATCTGAAGCTTTGATGTTTACGTTAAGAGCACATTACCTTGTCATTTAGTTGGGTTTCTATTTTCTTTATGTCCTTGGAACCATGTTTAAGTTTGTTGTATTTCACATAGGTTTCTATTAACACAATATAAAGAATTTATATAAAGAATATATGTTATATAAAGAATATATATGTTATATAAAGAATTTTTGTGTATATACAATATTTTAAATTTTCATGCAAATTACTATCCTGACTTGATAATTAAGTCATTCAAAGTGTAATCTATAATTCTTTGGTACCCCTTCCCCATGTCACAACAAATATGAGATTGCAGGATGAAAGAATCTACTTGTTGACGACTCCTTGCTATCAATTAGTAGGGTAATTGTTTTACCTCTAATTTCTTCAGGAGCACTATTCACATCATCCTGGAAAGTTTATAGAATTAAAATTATTAACAATCAGATACTTACCATTTCTTTACAATTTAAATAATACCTAATACAATATCCCACCATCTACAAGCCTCCCTCCCCCCCCCCCCCCCCCCCCCCCCCCACCATACCCACTAATGCTCCAGCCAATATGAATGTAAGCCCATGTTTCATTGTGAATGCTTTATTACCCTTTTACAATGCAATGTTATAGATTTCATGCATCACAGTGTAGTTATTTAACCCATTGAGTCGCATTGTGCCTTGATGCGCCCTACTTTATTATTTTTCTCTGTCTAATGCTGGCAGCCAATTATACTTGTTAAGCACTGGTGCTTAAGCAAGTGACATTTTTGACAACACAAATGTTGACCGGAGCAAATTTGACGTTATCAACCAACCAACATTCTTGACCCAGTCTATTAACGTTACTCATGCCATTCGTGTTGTCAAGTTCACTTGCTTAAGTGCGCTAATGGGTTAACTGGCCTATCTGCCATGGATGTGTCTAGTTAACCCATTGAGTCGCATTGCACCCTGGTGTTTATAGTGTATTAAACCACTGTGATTAAACACTAATATGACTTGTGATGCCACAAGTCATGTTATTAATTAAACTAGTGTCATAATTTTAAAGAATCACTCAACCTTGCTTGGTTTTCTGTCATGTTTACGTTCGAACATGCTTTCCCAAGCTTTCAACTCTCTTTTCAGGCATTTCAACTCATCTCGAGATTCTATAGTAAACAGAGTAACAACACACTGTACTATAAAATGGAAATAACAATCGACAGGACAAATATGTATTTGAATGCATATAAAACGATATGAACGCTTCAAAATATTAAAATTTAGATGTACGTAATCATAACTTACTTTCTCCAAGCATTTTTCTTTCATTCAAACTACAAAGACTCTATGTATCAGTAGAATTATTTACGATTTAACAATATTCAAAAAATACCAGTACATTTTGTTGCTTTCTTTTGTATATAAAATTGTTAAATTCTCAATTTCCCGCCATTTCACGCCGCCGCGTTTGAAGGACTGGATCCAAATAAGCCAAATTAATTATCGAAAGAAGACAAAAAAGCCAAAACCCGAACGCAATGGGCACTTGCCCCCGTCGTTCTTCACGCACGGGGGCAAGCAAATTAAAAAGAACGAATGGTCTATTTGAAGCGATATTTTTTAATAAAAAAAAGGTGGAATTACACGAGCAACAAAATTGCTGCAACTTGCAACAAAATCTGATTTCAACGCATGTTAATTGAAAATGTTTACACGTGCACATAAATTACAAATCACAAGGCATTTCTACTTAACATGCGTTGAAATCAGATTTTGTTGCAAGTTGCAGGATGCAATTTTGTTGCTCGTGTAACTCCAGCTTTAGGTCAAATACGCAGGAAATATAATTTTTCAGTCCTTACATTCTACATTAATTTAAAGTCAGTGTAAATGTCGTTTTGCGTGAGCTTCCCTCGCTGCTCTAAGCCATCTTCAAGAGTATTTTATTCGGTTACCTTGGATATGTTTTATGAGAGATAAAGAAATTCGGATTGTGGATCATCTGCAGCAGCCGGAAACCATCGGTTATGTATTTTTTTCTGAGTGGAAATCAAACAACAACACAAGTTAATTTTATATGCTTTATTTTCTTTATCCGTAAAAATCCGTTTCAATCAAATCGTTCATTTCAGGCTGCTTCTTCTTCACCCTCTTCTTCATCGAATTCTCCTTCTTCTTCAGCTGTAGCGTCTTGGTATTGTTGATATTCGGAAACCAAGTCGTTCATGTTTGATTCAGCCTAGGAAACATAGAGTATTTCATGATTTGTTGGAACGAAAACACAAGGGCAGCACAAGAAAACCCAGTAGGCCAGTACCAGTTTTCTTGAGAGTATTCTCGGAAATTTGATGCACTATTTACCTCAGTGAATTCCATTTCATCCATGCCCTCTCCAGTATACCAATGCAAGAAAGCTTTGCGACGGAACATAGCTGTAAATTGCTCACTGATTCGCTTGAACAATTCCTGGATGGCAGTGCTATTACCGATGAAGGTAGCCGACATTTTCAAACCTCTGGGAGGAATATCACAGACTGCAGTTTTCACGTTGTTGGGGATCCATTCCACAAAGTAGGAGCTGTTCTTGTTCTGGACGTTCAACATTTGTTCGTCAACTTCCTTCATGGACATGCGGCCACGGAACATTGCAGCAACGGTAAGATATCGACCATGACGGGGATCACAAGCTGCCATCATGTTCTTTGCGTCGAACATTTGCTGGGTAAGTTCTGGCACGGTAAGTGAACGATATTGCTGGGAGCCACGGCTGGTGAGTGGCGCGAAGCCAGGCATGAAGAAGTGAAGTCGCGGGAATGGTACCATGTTCACCGCCAACTTACGCAGGTCTGCGTTCAACTATTGTAATAAAATACATTTTGAAATTACATAAATGTTAACTCTTAACCAATTGTGACATTTGCATTTATAAAGACCCACGCTCATGCTTCAATGAAGTAACCACTGAAAACGTATTACACTACACCTACCTGGCCAGGGAATCGCAGGCAGGTCGTCACGCCACTCATGGTTGCGGATACCAGATGATTCAAGTCACCATAGGTCGGAGTGGTTAGCTTCAGCGTACGGAAACAGATATCGTACAGTGCTTCATTGTCAATGCAGAATGTTTCATCTGTATTTTCAACCAGTTGATGAACCGAAAGGGTGGCATTGTATGGTTCAACCACGGTGTCCGACACTTTAGGTGACGGTACCACACTGAATGTGGTCATGATTCTATCGGGGTATTCTTCACGAATTTTTGAAATAAGTAAGGTACCCATGCCGGAGCCCGTTCCACCTCCGAGAGAATGTGTCAATTGAAAACCTTGTAGGCAATCGCAGCTTTCTGACTCCTTTCGTACCACATCCAACACAGAGTCAACTAATTCTGCACCTTCGGTGTAATGTCCCTTAGCCCAGTTGTTCCCAGCACCGCTTTGGCCTGAAATGTTTTAAACAGTTTTATGGTTTGCCGGTAAATGGCAGCAGACAGGACAGTCCCAATTTGACAGGGCACCAAAAATTGGGTGTGGTCATATTTCAAATTTGAAATTCACGTTTGAAGGGCACCCTCAAAGAGAATATTTGTTGCCCCAGGTCCACAAACTCGTTTGGCCATGATGGCAGTTACGTAAAAAATGTTTTTCTATATCACGAATATCGTGAAATAATCATAAATTTACTTCGTTGAAGTCTCATATCGTTTGAGGAACAAGATTTGAATATTTTTATCTCTCTATTAATAACTATCTATTAAGTCTATAAATTATTAAATTCTAATCGATGGAAATTAATATTTTTTTTCATTTGATGAGTCTGAAACTTGTAGTGCATGCACTTGCAACCTTTCAATATTTCCAACAACATTGCATACAAAAGATAATTATTTGCCAATGACGTTGACACATTGTCTTTATTTCAAAACATAAAACTTACCAAAAACGAAGTTATCGGGTCTAAAGATTTGCCCAAAAGGCCCTGAACGAACAGAATCCATCGTTCCTGGTTCTAAGTCGACTAAGACTGCTCTAGGGACATATTTTCCACCTTAAAAAAAACACAATATTTTAAAATATTGCCGCGTAGCCGTAGCAAAAACTCATCGTTTTACACAGCAACATACCGGTCGCTTCGTTGTAATAAACGTTGATTCTTTCCAATTGAAGGTCAGAATCTCCGTGGTAAGTACCGGTAGGATCAATGCCATGTTCATCTGAAATTACCTCCCAGAACTATTGAAAGAAAAAGAGCAAAACGGTTTTGAAAACTAAAAAAGTGACGCCATTTTGCAAAAAACTTTCAACTAAAAAACACTTTTGATGTAGTTTAACCGTGTTACCTTCGCGCCTATTTGGTTTCCACATTGTCCTGCTTGAATATGTACAATTTCTCTCATCTTTAACGCTAAAAAATTACTTTTAGATAACTAAATCTAACTGCAAAGCAAAAAGTACTTGGCTACGCCTCGAAAACTTTCACAAGTGAAAAACCATTAAAATTGCTTACGCAACTTCAACGTTTGATTCGTCATCAAATTAAGCGCTGATTGGTTAACGAGCCGTAACCTGGTCAAAATTGACCAATCAGAAATCGTTTTCTAATAAACCGGTTATAAACAGGCTTATCCTATTGCAAAATTTTGAATTTCGCTAGGACACAGAGTAAATACATACAGACACAGAGTAGATACATAGTGACTGGCGGTCGTAAATTAACAGTTTGGAAACTTGCGTTTTCATGCACCCACTTTTTTCAGGTGGCCGGGCAAAAAATGATCAACTGCGTGTGCTCGGCAAGTTCCGCGAGCATGCCTCTAGTAACTTGCCGAGCACGCGCACTAAAAAGCAGTGGCGGCGCCAGGCTTCCAAATTTGGGGGGGCATTTGAGGGGCAAACTCAAATTTTGGGGGGGCAAGATAGAATTTTTAAAAAGATCGCCCCCCCCTGGAAATTCGCCCCCCCCCCTCAAAACGTGGCGATATTCCTAGGAATATTGCCCCCGGGGGCGAATATCCTAGGAATATCGCCTCCCAGGGGGTGGGGCGAATACCCTAGGAATATCGCCCCTCTTTAGGACATTCGCCCCCATATATGCGATGTGGTTTATTCAAATAATTTCGTGATACTTTCATCTTATTATTGCCTTACACGTTTGAGAATTTAACTCTGCAAAACTAAAGCTTTTTTGTCTTTTTTTGAAACGTATTATTGGAGTATTGGCAAGTTTTACCATTCGGGGATTTACAAACTAATATTGAAACTGTAAAAACAGTTTCATGTATACGCGCATTCACTAATGAGTAATGACAACTTATAAGCCATACATTTTTCGATAACGACAGAACGCTTGTGCAGCCTTTAGTTGCTCTTAGTGACTAATAATTTTTTTTGAGGGGGGGGCAAAAAATAATTTTGGGGGGGCATTTGCCCCCCCTTGGCGCCGCCACTGCTAAAAAGTGGTTACGCTAGCTAGTACAACTCTGTATGTATCTACTCTGTGGCTAGGAGAAAGAATCTTAACAGAATCATGATACAGGGAAAGAATATTATAAGATTGCTTATGTGGATGAACTCTGCACTCGATGCTTATGTATTCGTTTATTAATCTCTTTTGAGAAATTTATGATGTGGACGCTTTTCTTGTAGGGGCCGAATTGAGAAATTAATGAACATGTTTAAAAGTACCCCACCACAAAGACTGCCCCCCCCCCCCCCC